CATACCTATTAGTACTACTTTATTGAACACGAAACAAATTATATTTTTAATATCTCATCCTATAGTATAATCTTATATTTTATAATAATTATATATTATATGTCATCTCTATGTAATTTTTTCTTGTATTATTTTTCAAATATAGCACATAGCCTGGATGGAGCCAGTATTACCATGTGTGTATAATTAATATTCCGTGATTAGTTGTGTAGTAAAATGTCACGCGTTATATGTAAACTTTGTAAACAAAACGTAAAAAATCAGAAATAGAAATCGATAATGGTAATAACAATAAATAACATCAATATCGTGTTTTGTATTCGTACTGTTCGTTACTGGTTCTCGTTACTCGTTAGTCATAGTGGTAATGTGACACGTGAGCACGCGAGATTCAAATACGAATCTTGATGACTTTCGTTTTTCTTTTTTTGTCCATTTTTTCATAAAAATTAAAGACGATCTGTATATGTTGAACGTGTCGTCACCAATAAAATGAAATAAATGAATAATAGCCGAGATCGGCCGCGACGTCTATCACACATCGATTGATGATAACAAATATAATTTGTTATTTGTGTTTTGAACATTATAAAGTGCATTTAATATTTTTAATCAATTATTTTGTGAGTATTATTGATATTAAAACTTTATATCGAAATTATGAAGCGTGGACCAAAAACTTCGTCTACAGTGTGGGAGCATTTTAAAAGGAGTGGGGAAAAGAAAAATAACGTAACTTGCAGTATTTGCAAAAATGAATTTAAATATTCCGGAAATACATCAAATTTAAGGGAACATTTAAAAAGAAAACACCCGGCTTCCCTATTTCCGCAACGTGAACCCGAAGAAGATGCCGATGAAAATGTGGTAACATCAGTTGTAGATCCTAGTCAAGAAATTGACTCTTCATCCCATAATTCAAGGAGACTATTCCCTGGTGGATCCGCTGTACCAATACCAATTCCCACTAACATTACAGCAAAAAACCAAGGAAAGCCTCTATCGAAATCGAAAGGTTCTCGCCAACTCAGGTTATTTGGTTCTACTAGAGGCGACGGTCTAACACCGGAAATGAAAGATAAACTTGACAAAGCTCTTTTGCAAATGATTGTAATAGATTATCAACCACTGTCCATTGTAGAAAATAAGGGCTTCATTAATTATTCAAATAACCTGAATCCACATTATCAACTGCCAACTAGAAAACTTTTAACATCAGTATGGCTTGAAAACTTGTACCAAGAGGAAAGTCGCAAAATTAAGACCATACTGACAGATGTGGCAAATGTTGCAGTAACAACAGATATCTGGACGTCAGATAGTAACAAAGCTTACATTTCTGTGACAATTCACTTTGTTTATAATAACCAGATGGTTTCCAGGAACATAGCCACCAACGAACTGGAAGACGTTCATCACACAGGAGAAAATATTGCAAGAGCCCTTAATTCTATTTTTCAAGAGTGGAATATCAACAATAAAATCGTCACAGTCGTATCTGATAATGGGGCAAATATCAAAAATACTATCCGACAGATAAACGTACACCATCACCCGTGTATCGCCCATACCTTAAATCTAACTGTAAATGAAAGTTTAGACGATATTCCCTTGTTAAATACAGTTATTAAAAAATACCGGTCTCTAGTTGGACATTTCAAACATAGTGTTGTCGCATCTCAAATTCTCAAGGAAATGCAAATTCAAATGAATCTTCCTATTCTTAAGGTCAAACAGGATATAAGAACACGATGGAACTCATGTTTGATAATGATGGAGAGACTTTTAAAAATAAAAGCGCCGCTGTCAGCTGCCATAACATCTATCCCTCAAGCACCTGAATTTTTGGACACTGCAGAGTGGCAAATAATAGCAGACTGTGTATCGTTGTTAAAACCTACTGAAGATATAACTACGGTTTTATCGGGCGAAAAATATCCTACCCTCTCCATGGTACCTCCTTTAATTAAGGGCCTACAACTTTAATAAATAAGGTAGTGACCGCAGATGTGGCAAATCAATTAAAAACGTGTCTATTCGATTCTATATCAAGAAGACTCGGAAATCTTGAATGTAACAAAATTGTGGCCAAAGCTACCCTATTAGATCCCCGCTTTAAAAAATTAGCATTTGGTGTTTCGGGAAATGCAAATAATGCACAAACATTGGTTCATGAAGAGTTAGTTTCTATTCTATCAGTGCAAACTGAAGAAGAAATACCAAGCGCTTCCGCCGATACTTCTACTTCTACTGTAGAAGCCAAAACCTCGGATTCAATTTGGACATTTCTAGACAATCAAGTGAAACACTCGAAGTCACATATTACACCAAATGTCACGGGTGTCACAATGATGTTGCGTCAATATTAAGAGCTGCCATATTTATCGAGATCAAGTAACCCTCTGGAATTTTGGAAATCTCATTCAGGGATTTTTCCCGATCTTTACCAGCTACAGGCAAAATATTTGTGCATCCCTGCCACTTCAGTGCCATCAGAACGAGTTTTCTCAAAGGCAGGACAATTAACGAATGATCGCCGTAACCGTCTTAACCCAAAAAATTTGGACTATATAATTTTCTTAAATAGTGTATTTAACAATTAGTTTAAAATTCAAAATATCTCTTCAGTTACTATATCTACAATTTTGTTGTTTTATTTCTTTTGTTACATCTGATTAATCTGAAAAGGATATATTTTTTGTGTTTATGACATTTATGTGCATTTACTTATAAAATAATTTTTTTATATACATACAGTGCTTCCCAAAAGTAACGAATAAATTCGATAAAATTGTTGAGAAAAATATTTAAAAAAAATGCTCGGACCCGTCGATTTGTAATTTTAATTTATCATTTAGAGATGTCACTTTCAACCCCCCACCCTTCAACCCTTACGCGTCAGCCTACTTGACAAAAAGAATTCAAATAGCAAAGTACCNAAGGGATTTATTCACTAATAAGCTATAGCTATACGTGTGTCCTTGTTTACGTGCGGTTCGTATTTATTTTTATTTTACCGGTAGCAATTATTTAGATAAAAGAAGAAAATTAATTTTGGTGTTCGGTGAAATGAACCAAATAATATTCGTCAATAAGAGGTTACGTCCAGGCTAGATAAATGAAAATTATTACACTTGCGGTTACAGGGTAACTCTCTTCATAAATTGTTACACAATTAAAAAGATAAGAGTCTTTTGAAGTTTGATTTTTAATGGTCGATATAGATACAAAAATTGGCCAATCATGTCACAACCTAAATCATTGTCTTCATCTGAAAATAACACTATATAAGTAAGTAAGTATCGACAGGAACAATTTAAAAATCAAACTTAAATGTATGAGTATGAGCATTATGGCTCTCGCGACCTCGAGTACCGCGACTCTGTACCAGTGCCGTCGGGGTTAGTGCTGCGACGCTGCCCACTCTCCCCATCAGCACCACCACTATCACCTACGTGGTGTCTTTGTAATTCTCCCCGTGCTGCTTCTGCTAGTTCTGCAGGTTCTGCTTCAGCAAATGGAAATCGCAATGGCCATCCATTTATTACCCTGCACCGAAATGGTGAATGCGCCTGAGATGGCACTTGCCCGAAGAATAATTGAAGACGCCACTCCGCCCGGCTATACACTTATTAATCAAGAACCAGCGGTGCAGACAGGGCGGCACCCTCATCGATGGATAGCGGTATTCACCAGAAATGACAATTATTACAGTTGTGGCTGTAACTACTTAACTGTTACAAGACGAGCATTTCTGAGGTTGCAACCACAGGGAAGTGCTGTCAGCAATGTAAGAGGTACAAAAAAGGGGCTTTTCCTGGTAGTCGATCGAGAGCCGATGTTTGGGTTATGTGATCAGGAAAGGCGCCTTAGCGAGCGGTGTGGATAAAATGGTAACAGGATGACAACCTGAATTAATGTATGCTAAGACATGACGACAGAAGGTTGTATATAGAGGATCGATGTATGGACTGTAAAAAAAATATATAGTGTGGTTCGTTTTGGGCCTTGTACTGTTGAGTTTAATTTCAACCCTTACAAATTCAGGAGTGGGATTGGTTAATCCATGTGCATAAAAAGTACATTTAATAAGTTAGTGACAAGTGTTTAAAGACAATTAAAATGGGCAAACATAAAAGTAGTAATTCCCGCCAACAAAGATCGCAAACTCCGGATGGACACCCCCCTGAAATGCCATCCACATCAAGGCGACTATCGTCATCGGGAGATTCCACATCTTCAGAGGGATACACCCCAGAAAGATCACCCCCACCCATGAAAAGTCCGCAAAAAGCGACCAGAAATACGAGTTCCAAAAGAAAACACAAAGAGAAAAGTCGAAAAAGGTCTTCAACATATGAAAGGGAAATCTCGAGGCAAAAGAAGAAACTCGCACGTCTGGAAGAAAAGGTAAGTACTCTTTTAAATGATAGACTCTCTACAATTAATGTTCCGACTCTTAGTCTAGCCGTAATTCCAACTTTTGATCCAGGTGTCGGTTCATTAAGTGTATCGGAGTGGTTAATTAAAGTAGACGGACTTGCAACTTTTCATAAATGGGACGAATTAACTGTAATTAAATTAGCCACAAGTCGGTTTCGGGGAAACGCGCGTAAGTGGTACGATTCACTTAAACAATGTAGTGTTACCTGGAATGATCTTAAAGATTTATTGTTAACAACTTTTCCTGAACCGGTTAATTTTGGGAAATTATTAATTGAAGCAGCGAATTATGAACCCAGTTATAAACAAAATTTGAGTGATTTTTGTTTTGAAAAGGTGGCAAAACTAAATAAACTAAATTTGGACGTTCCCGAAGAGTGCTTGATTGACAGTGTTATCGAAAGTTTAGGTGATGATACTATTGCGTTATCTGCAAGAGCGGCAAAATGTAAAACAGTAGGCGAATTAGCCAACTATTTGAGTCATCAATCAATTACTAAAATAAGTTTTACTAAAAACAGTAATACAAGCAGTTCATATCATAAAAAATTAAAGGATCAGGTTCCTACTCAACTTTATAAACAAAAACAATATAAGAATTCGTCGATAAAAAGAATTAATTGTTATAATTGCGGCGGAAACCATCGCGTATCAGACTGTCGAAAGCCGATAATAAAATGTAATTTGTGTAACAAACTAGGTCACACACGGGAACAGTGTAGCGACAAATCACGTTCGAATAAAAAACAAATTGCCCAGTGTGAAACAGACTCATTATTAGGCCCCGCAATAAAAACAAAAGACTTATTTATTAAAAATGCTCGAATTAACGGACGAAAAATAAAATGTTTGGTCGACACGGGGAGTAGCTGTACGATTATTCGCTATTCCATTGCGAAATATTTACATTTGAACATCACAAGCGATGTAAATATTACCATAAAAAGTTTCATTGAGACTAGCCTCAATGTAAATTTAACATCGACGGTGCGTATTGTTAGAATCGCCACCCAGAGGTGCCTCAAGTGTATCAAAATCTTTTGCAGTTCCTGACGATTAAAAACAATCAGCCATACAACCAGCTTTGTCATTTGTTTATGTTTCGATATTATTTATGACTTATCGGAATCGATATAATATAAGCGAACATTTTGCGAATAGAGAAATGTAAAATAATGAATGAACAGTATGAATAGAGAAGTCTGACTGTAAAACGTACGTGTATAATCTTTCTTATATAAAAACTATTTTGTATTGTGTCGGACATTATTTTTGAAATAACCCTCCTAACTTACAGTATACATGTGGATGAAACAAGAGCAAAAAATAAAATTAAAAACCGATGAACCTGTAGTTTACAGACCATACCGAATGTCTATTTCCGAAAGAACAATACTTAACGATATAATTGATGACCTATTAAGAAACAATATTGTGAGACCATCTCAATCACCCTATGCCAGTCCCATTATACTTTGCAAAAAAAAAACAGGTGACTATAGAATGTGTGTCGATTTTCGAAAACTTAATGCGATTACCGTGAAAGATAAGTACCCTTTGCCTCTTATAGAGGACCAGACAGACAGACTAGGAGGAAATATTTTCTTTACTGGGCTATATATGGCTTCAGGTTACTACCAAGTCCCAATGGCTGAAGAGTCCATTGAGAAAACCGCGTTCGTAACACCCGATGCGCATCTAGAATTTGTGCGAATGCAATTCGGGTTGTGCAATGCGCCGGCCGTTTATCAACGATTAATAAACGATATACTAGGTGACTTAAAATATACTAACGCCTTTCCCTATATTGATGATATCATCATACCGTCGGTTACTTTCGAGGAAGGCTTGGACAGGCTGCATAAAGTTTTAGAAGTACTACTAAAAGAAAACGGCTTGACTCTAAAATTGAGTAAATGCACATTTTTTAAAAGAAAAATTGAGTACTTGGGGAGAGAAATTAGTAGCGAGGGTGTACGTCCGGGATCATTAAAGGTAAAAGCTGTGATGGAGGTGTCAGACCCTCAAAATATAAAGCAAGTAAGACAATTTTTAGGATTGTCCGGCTATTTTCGGGAGTTTATCCAAAATTATGCGTACCAAGTGGAACCATTAACACGGTTACTTAAAAAGGATACCAAATGGTCCTGGGGCGAAGAGCAAAAAGCAGCCGTTCAAAACATCAAAATCGCTTTATCATCAAAACCTATTTTAGCAATATTTGACCCCAAACTACCAACCGAACTACACACGGACGCGAGTTCAATAGGAGTAGCCGGTATGCTAGTACAGAAACATGACATAGGGATGACAGTAGTCGGTTATTTTAGTAAGCAAACCACCCCCGAACAAAAATTATAACATTCGTATGAATTAGAAACCATGGCAGTCGTATTATCTTTACAACATTTTAGGGTTTACCTACTAGGTATCCAATTCAAAATAGTCACCGACTGCAGTGCATTACGTGCAACTTTTGTCAAGAAGGACTTACTGCCTCGAATAGGTCGATGGTGGTTACAAGTCCAAGAATATACGTTCGAGCGGGTACTAAAATGAGCCACGTTGATGCTCTTAGCCGTAACCCCATCGAAGAATATATAAATGCTATTGATTTAACCGAAGCAGATTGGATTGTCGCGACCCAATCACAAGACGACACCATAACCAAAATCAAAACTATACTTAGTGAGGGTACCCGAAATCGAAACACAAAACAATATTTTGACAACTTTTTGTTGAAAAATGACAAAATTTATAAGACTCCCTAATGGAAAAAATGTTTGGCTAGTGCCAAAAGGATGCAAGTGGCAAATATGCAGGTTATGCCATGATGACTCTGGTCATTTAGGATTTGAAAAGACACTTAAAAGAATCGCCGAAAACTATTGGTTCCCCAAAATGCGCGGCTTTGTAAAGAAATATGTACAATCATGTCTATCTTGTATGTATTATAAACATCCTTCTGGTAAAAAGGAAGGTCAAGTGTATTCAATCGAGAAGGTGCCAGTACCTTTCGATACAATTCATATCGATCATTTGGGGCCATTTGAGAAAAGTTCGAAAGCAAACAGTTATATTTTGACCATTATAGACGGATTCACAAAATTTACAATTCTTGAAGCAGTGAAAGATACGAAAACAAAACACGTGATTAACACATTACTCAGTTTATTTTATATTTTCGGGACCCCACGACGTATAATAAGAGATAGAGGTTCGGCCTATACGTCCAAAAAGTTTGAATCGTTTTGTAATAAATATGGTATTCATCACACTCTAAATGCGGTAGCCACGCCTCGGGCAAATGGCCAGTGTGAGCGTGCAAACCGGGTTGTGCTAAATACCCTAGCAGTAATGGCTGCAGGCATGAAAGAGTCCAAATGGGACACACTTGTTAAGCCAATTCAAGGTATTCTGAACTCTACAGAAAATAAAACCATAGGTGTTTCACATTTAGAAGTTCTGGCGGGATACAAAGGGCGAAACATCGCAGAAGCGAAAATTCTTAGCGTTGTGCAAAATGAGGTAGAGCGACTAGATTTACAACAAGTAAGAGAAAATGTGAGTAAACGGATCGTTAGAGATCAAAATGTTCAAAAGAAGCGATTTGATAAAACCCGTAAAAAAGCAAAACAATATACTAAAGGTGAAATAGTAATGATACTAAAAACAAGCATACAAGCTACAGGTAGTAGTCAAAAACTCGCACCATCGTTTAGGGGACCATTCAAAATCACAAGGGTTTTGTATAATGACAGGTATGAGGTAGAGGACCTTCGGGAAGGCATGAAACGGTCACGAACAGTTGTAACCGTCGGCCAAATGAAACCTTGGATACTCCTAAGAGGTGAGAAGATGACATAGGGCCACCATTTTACTAAGTTAAAAGGCACATGTCCTCTTCAAAAAAAAAAAAAAACAATAATAATAATAGTAATAGTTTTCAGGATGAATGAGAGTATGTCTGTGATACGCGAATGTGAAAGTACAAATGAATGAAATATGAACAATTTTAAGGATGACATTATGAAAAACGCACACTAATTATGTATGTATGATTGTGGCATATGGCCGTGTGCAAATGAAAAAAAAGGGGCTATGAGGGTGACATATCTTCACAATATTATTGGCTAGGGCCAAACATTGTTAGGATTCATCAAAAGAATAGGTAGCAAATGTGTCATTGACCAAAGTGGTCAATATCAATGTATGTGTACCCTGCAGGGCTAGCTAGCTAATGTTGAAACGACACAAAATCACTAAATAATGAATGAAAATACATATGTACGCATGTGTATAATGATGATAGTAAAACAAAACGTGACAAAGGGATGTCATGAAAACGTAGCAATGGCTACCAAAATCACTCAAAGGAATGATCTAATGGCTGCTCTGTAGCGATGACTACTGTGACATATGAGATCACTTAAACTAGAGCACAATGATTGTCTTGTAGCGATGGCTACTATGACACATGTTAATGACTTCTTTGTAGCGAGGGCTACTGTGACACAAGGTCACGTATGTGAAGGCGACAATGGTAAAAGTGCCAAGGGGTACTTATAAAGTGAAAGTGTTGAATGAGTCCAACTACTATTCTTATAAAGTTTTTACTTCTTACTAATTTAATTTTGTTTCATAGATAACGATAGTGGACAAAGCCAGTCGGAAGATGATTTTGAACCACACTATGGGTTTTGGTGGGGTTCAGAACGATCAATCTGAGGACAGCTTGATAAAATAGGATGGCCGAATGTAAGAGGTACAAAAAAGGGGCTTTTCCTGGTAGTCGATCGAGAGCCGATGTTTGGGTTATGTGATCAAGAAAGGCGCCTTAGGAAGGCCAACACGAGCGGTGTGGATAAAATGGTAACAGGATGACAACCTGAATTAATGTATGGTAAGACTTGACGACAGAAGGTTGTATATAGAGGATCGATGTATGGACTGTAAAAAAAATATATAGTGTGGTTCGTTTTGGGCCTTGTACTGTTGAGTTTAATTTCAACCCTTACAGCAATGTGCAAATATCTAATTTTCCTAATCAACCTACTATTAAGGTAAAGGTAAAATTCAATTCGTTTCTGGTACATTCATTTTATAGGTATTAATTATTATTACAGGTAGAGTATCTTGTGTACTGCGAATGCACAAAAATTCCCCGCCGGCGACGCCGCCACTTCGTAAGCATCACAGAGGGTACGGCCTATTATTTTCTTGAAAATCAACAAACATGTCAAACGGTGGCGCCGTATCAAAAGGAAGATACCACTTGTGCTGGTACATGAGACCTGAGACCTAAACCTGGGAAATGGGATATGGGGTGGAATATGGAATGTATAAGTTGACCATACCTGACCATACCTATTAGTACTACTTTATTGAACACGAAACAAATTATATTTTTAATATCTCATCCTATAGTATAATCTTATATTTTATAATAATTATATATTATATGTCATCTCTATGTAATTTTTTCTTGTATTATTTTTCAAATATAGCACATAGCCTGGATGGAGCCAGTATTACCATGTGTGTATAATTAATATTCCGTGATTAGTTGTGTAGTAAAATGTCACGCGTTATATGTAAACTTTGTAAACAAAACGTAAAAAATCAGAAATAGAAATCGATAATGGTAATAACAATAAATAACATCAATATCGTGTTTTGTATTCGTACTGTTCGTTACTGGTTCTCGTTACTCGTTAGTCATAGTGGTAATGTGACACGTGAGCACGCGAGATTCAAATACGAATCTTGATGACTTTCGTTTTTCTTTTTTTGTCCATTTTTTCATAAAAATTAAAGACGATCTGTATATGTTGAACGTGTCGTCACCAATAAAATGAAATAAATGAATAATAGCCGAGATCGGCCGCGACGTCTATCACACATCGATTGATGATAACAAATATAATTTGTTATTTGTGTTTTGAACATTATAAAGTGCATTTAATATTTTTTGTGAGTATTATTGATATTAAAACTTTATATCGAAATTATGAAGCGTGGACCAAAAACTTCGTCTACAGTGTGGGAGCATTTTAAAAGGAGTGGGGAAAAGAAAAATAACGTAACTTGCAGTACTTGCAAAAATGAATTTAAATATTCCGGAAATACATCAAATTTAAGGGAACATTTAAAAAGAAAACATCCGGCTTCCCTATTTCCGCAACGTGAACCCGAAGAAGATGCCGATGAAAATGTGGTAACATCAGTTGTAGATCCTAGTCAAGAAATTGACTCTTCATCCCATAATTCAAGGAGACTATTCCCTGGTGGATCCGCTGTACCAATACCAATTCCCACTAACATTACAGCAAATAACCAAGGAAAGCCTCTATCGAAATCGAAAGGTTCTCACCAACTCAGGTTATTTGGTTCTACTAGAGGCGACGGTCTAACACCGGAAATGAAAGATAAACTTGACAAAGCTCTTTTGCAAATGATTGTAATAGATTATCAACCACTGTCCATTGTAGAAAATAAGGGCTTCATTAATTATTCAAATAACCTGAATCCACATTATCAACTGCCAAGTAGAAAACTTTTAACATCAGTATGGCTTGAAAACTTGTACCAAGAGGAAAGCTGCAAAATTAAGACCATGCTGACAGATGTGGCAAATGTTGCAGTAACAACAGATATCTGGACGTCAGATAGTAACAAAGCTTACATTTCTGTGACAATTCACTTTATTTATAATAACCAGATGGTTTCCAGGAACATAGCCACCAAAGAACTGGAAGACGTTCATCACACAGGAGAAAACATTGCAAGAGCCCTTAATTCTATTTTTCAAGAATGGAATATCAACAATAAAATCGTCACAGTTGTATCTGATAATGGGGCAAATATCAAAAATGCTATCTGACAGATAAACGTACACCATCACCCGTGTATCGCCAATACCTTAAATCTAACTGTAAATGAAACTAGACAATATTCCCTTGTTAAATACAGTTATTAAAAAATGCCGGTCTCTAGTTGGACATTTCAAACAGTGTTGTCGCATCTCAAATTCTCAAGGAAATGCAAATTCAAATGAATCTTCCTATTCTTAAGGTCAAACAGGATATAAGAACACGATGGAGCTTATGTTTGATAATGATGGAGAGACTTTTAAAAATAATAGCGCCGCTGTCAGCTGCCATAACATCTATCCCTCAAGCACCTGAATTTTTGGACACTGCAGAGTGGCAAATAATAGCAGACTGTGTATCGTTGTTAAAACCTACTGAAGATATAACTACGGTTTTATCGGGCGAAAAATATCCTACCCTCTCCATGGTACCTCCTTTAATTAAGGGCCTACAACTTTAATAAATAAGGTAGTGACCGCAGATGTGGCAAATCAATTAAAAACGTGTCTATTCGATTCTATATCAAGAAGACTCGGAAATCTTGAATGTAACAAAATTGTGGCCAAAGCTACCCTATTAGATCCCCGCTTTAAAAAATTAGCATTTGGTGTTTCGGGAAATGCAAATAATGCACAAACATTGGTTCATGAAGAGTTAGTTTCTATTCTATCAGTGCAAACTGAAGAAGAAATACCAAGCGCTTCCGCCGATACTTCTACTTCTACTGTAGAAGCCAAAACCTCGGATTCAATTTGGACATTTCTAGACAATCAAGTGAAACACTCGAAGTCACATATTACACCAAATGTCACGGGTGTCACAATGATGTTGCGTCAATATTAAGAGCTGCCATATTTATCGAGATCAAGTAACCCGCTGGAATTTTGGAAATCTCATTCAGGGATTTTTCCCGATCTTTACCAGCTACAGGCAAAATATTTGTGCATCCCTGCCACTTCAGTGCCATCAGAACGAGTTTTCTCAAAGGCAGGACAATTAACGAATGATCGCCGTAACCGTCTTAACCCAAAAAATTTGGACTATATAATTTTCTTAAATAGTGTATTTAACAATTAGTTTAAAATTCAAAATATCTCTTCAGTTACTATATCTACAATTTTGTTGTTTTATTTCTTTTGTTACATCTGATTAATCTGAAAAGGATATATTTTTTGTGTTTATGACATTTATGTGCATTTACTTATAAAATAATTTTTTTATATACATACAGTGCTTCCCAAAAGTAACGAATAAATTCGATAAAATTGTTGAGAAAAATATTTAAAAAAAATGCTCGGACCCGTCGATTTGTAATTTTAATTTATCATTTAGAGATGTCACTTTCAACCCCCCACCCTTCAACCCTTACGCGTCAGCCTACTTGACAAAAAGAATTCAAATAGCAAAGTACCCTTTGCGATACCTCGATGAATAGATGTTTTTATTCTGAATACAACAAAAAAAGAAAAATGAAAATCGGTTGATAAATAATGGAGTTATTCGTCAAAATATTTATTAAATAAACATCAATAATCGAGTAGGTATTGACACATTGACCGCAATAAGTGACAGAAACGATAACTTAAATGTCAAACACAATTGAGCTTAACGTTTTAATAGTAAATGGACAGCAATTTGAAGATTTAATTTAAGTAATTATAATTTTCCCTAATTTTATCATTATTTAAATATACTTTTTTATTTGATATTGTATGTATTTTATTTCTTAATTCTGAAAACAATTTTATCGAATTTATCCGTTACTTTTCGGAAGCACTGTATAATTAATTATATAATTATTATTTTCCTGCTCAAGTAAATAAATATCTCGCATTTCATCTCCCTTTAATACCTCGTAGCTGCTATATTATTAATTATTATACTATTACTATCTCTTCTCTGTTCCAGTCAGCCTTCAGTACAGCAGTTCCCTCTACGAAATAATCAGTAACGAAAACGAACGCTTCACTCGACCTCCATCGTAGATATTCGATAGGTGTAGGCGTATACCAGTTGAATAATTCGTAATTCCGTTTCCAGTCGGAGTATGAGTATACGAATACTAAATAAATAATAAATAATACTACTAATTTTTATCTCGATATATCGAAAAAGTTAATCGAATTAGTTGCTTTCAATTTACTATCGAATTATTCGAATTGTCGCAACACTAGCTGTAATTAAACAGCTTAGATTAGATCATATGAATAAGGAATAAAAAAATAAAATTGCTAAACTTTACAAAGAATTCAGTTCTATTTTTAGTACCGATCAACAAAAATTAACCGCGACTGATAAGTTTCCCATCATATTAGGATAACTGACGATTTACCTGATTACCAAAAAAATTCCCGACACCCACAAAAATTCAACGAAATTCAAAACCAAATTAAAAAACTACTTAATCACGGTGTAATTCTGCACCTTGGATTCCTTGTTTGGATAGCTACAAAAAAGATGGATGCTCTAGAAAAAAAGAAATGACGCATGGCAATTGACTTTCGTGAACCTAATAAAAAAACCGTTGAAGACAAGTACCCTTTATCATGAATTGAAGACGATTTAGACTCCTTAAGAAAATGTCCTTGTTATTCTACTTTAGACTTAACTTCTAGCTTTTAACAAATGCTTCTCCGTCAAGACTACAGAAAAGACAGCTTTTTCTATTGACAACGGACTCAAAAACGCACCCGCTACATTCCAACGCATGATCGACACCGCTTTTGTTTAGATAGACGAAATCGTTATATTTTGAAAATCACTACTTGAACACGTAACAACTAACTAGTTTAATACAATAATCCACAAGCAACTATGTCTACATAGCTACGAAATATAACAATATTATCAAAACTTTCCGCTCTCAAGGCCCACTTCATATGAACGTATTAAAATGGCAATAATAATAATAACGTCTGATTCAACTTATAGCATGAAATAGAATTTTGCGATCAACATAACTAGCACGTCGCAAATACCTTGTCTGACCATCACACGTGGGAGATATCAGTTAGATTACATTCTTGTTAAACAAAGAATCACGTGAAGAGCTGTAGGAGTTATTTAGTAACAGATACAGATAGCGATCATAACCCAGCTGTAATGAAGATCAGACTGAAATTTAAAATTATAAAGGAGAGGGAATTTAGAAAACGTATTTAGTTCTAAAAACTAAACGCGTGATAGGCTAGATATAAGGACAGACGAAATACTAAAGCGGGCGATAGAAACGAATGACATGGATGTAGAGACAGAACAGAACTGCATTAAAACGTGTCTAGATTCCGCAGCTAGAGATATAGAATATCTTAAACAAAACGAAAGTAAGAAACCCAGGAAAACAAACGAGATCGTAGGATTAAGACTAAAGGAGCAAATTAAATGAACACGATGGATGGAAAAGGTCAAAACAATATAAGGCTATAAGGCTAATAATTAGGAAGTATAGGGCAGCTAAGGGACAGGGAATTAATAAGTGAAGTAAAAAAGTATAAGAAAAGTTTGAAGCAATTGAAAGAGATGAGGCTTAAAATATAACAAAAAAGAATTTTAGTGAAGTAGGGTACAGTGCTAAAAATATACGAAACGAGGCACTTGGATAGAAAATGAAGAAACTGTAGAGAGGTGGAATGAATATCTATAGAACCTACACGCAGGTCAAGAGTTTAGAGATGTATTAGAAAAAAGACAGTGTAGAGACAGATGGGCTGGGATACCTCATAATGAGAAAGGTGTCTCATTTAACATTACAAAAATTAAATAATAATAAAAGGCACCAAGTACAGATGGGATACAAGCGGAAATCTTACAAGATGCAACCAAGAAACTAGAGATCAAGCAATTAGCCTAAATTCCAATTTGGGTTAAGATGAAAACGAGGAAGGTTCTTTACAATATCTTCTTATTCTTGGAAGGGCGAATTAAAATGGGTTTCAACAAATATCGTGAGAGGCCATTTTAGCTTTACGGGTAACAAAAATAAAATTATATAAATGGCTAAGAGCGCATACATAGGATTTAGCGATTTAGAATGTATCTTAAATGTACTTAAAGATGTAGGGATGAGATACAAAGATGGAAGTTTTGAAACATCATACTTTATTTGTATAAAGAGTAACAGGGAGTTATAGAACTTGACCAGTAACGCAGAGAAGTAGATATTGGATAGGGAGAACGAATACTGTCACTAGTACCTTTTAATCTATATATCGAGAATTTTAGGGATAGTTATACAAAGGCAAAAGATCATTATGCTTAGATTTACAGATGGTATAGCAATATTAGAATTGAACTAGAAGTTAGCCCTAAATAAAATGGAAGCGGTGCCGATAAAATGTTTTGTACGAAAATAAATAAAACTAAATAAAAAATATTGGTAAGCAAGGTAAGGAAATTTGGGAAAAGAGTAATTATAAAGGCAAGAGACGAAAAATTGAAAGAAGTCGACCATTTCCAGTATCTAGGAAATCAAATAATTGAGGATTGAAAGAGCAGTACAGATGTAAAACAAAGAGAAGCGCAGGGTCAAGTCGTCTTTAACAAAAAGAAGTCACTTCTGTGCTCTCGAATGGTTATATTACAGATTATAAAAATATTATTAAAGGTGTACTGTACGGGTGCGAAATGTGGACGTTAGATGCTGCGGAAAAGAAAAAGAAAGAATGACAGTGAAGACACAGTGATTGGAAAATGCTAGAAATAAGGATGTATTACAAAAAGTAGGAGAACAGATGACGTTATGGAAGTCAATAAAAAATAGGCGAGATAGGTGGGTAGAACACTTTCTCACGCATGAAGGACCAGTTAGAAACCATGAATGGAAACGGGAGTTAAAAGGAATAGAAGTAGACCTAGTTTAGATTACTGTTCATCAATAGTTAAGAATGTGGGATTAGGGAAATGCGAATAGTAGCTTAAGACAGGAAAAAGTGGAGGTGCGTGTTCAACTAGTCTTAAGACTGTCGACACCTAAGGTGATGATGATAACATACAATACCTTCCTATATAAAATATAGCACACTGAAAAAAACTACATTAAACAGATAAAAATGTCTGGTACATTATAAGGTTCCTATCTTATCTCCTAATTACATCATATATTAAAAAGAAATTAAGTCAAAACTGTACTGGAAAGGTTTTTTATTTGATGCAAAACCAGCACCGACGTTTTGCTTTGTTTTGGGTGGATTTTTTTATAATGAAGATGTTACACTTTATTGTATTATTTAATACTAATCAGGTATTAAAGTGAAAAAGCGATTTTTACATTAGGTAAGAGCATTAAAAATAAAATTTCATGAGTATAAATAAAACAATAGATAAAGTAAGTACATAAAATCCCAATCATTCAGTCAACACCATTATAAAGATGAAATCATAAACAATTTAAATATCTAAAAACTACGTGGCCAGCAATCACACCTGACAACTAATTTAACGATAAGTACAATTTGATAATGAACAACATGCAACAAAAAAGTGTCACATGAAAAAAATAAGAAAAAAAAATGATTGATGTATTTCACTGTTCCGTTAGATTAACTTTGTAAACAACTACTTTATTTCAACAAATATAATGAGGTTGTCACACAACTGATTGACAGACTTCTAAAATAAAAAGTTTATTTTTAAAAAACTCCTTTGTTAGAATTTTTATCGTATCATATATACAGGGTTATTCATGTTATTCGACACGAAATATGGCTGAACTTCCGAAAAGGTGTTACCTTAAAATGACATAAAATTTTGTATGCAGGGGTTTTTTGGGATGCTGGTTACGAATTTCACCATGAAAATGAGCGCAAATGATGAGAAGTTTGATATATCGAAGATATATCGATAATCGAAACTCGAAATTTTCTGGGAGTGAGCGGAGTATTTTCTTATGGATTTGATAATGAGAAAAACGAAAAAAGTAATGAAAAAAATCCTGGACTTATTATTATTTTAATTCTTGAACTTACAAACTAAAAAGTTCAAATATTTTATATTATTTAATATTATATTTTACATGATGATTATTTTTTTTTTAATGAACAAAAATAAAACGTAGATTAGATTACTGTTCGCAAATAGTTAAGGATGTGGGTTGTTTTAGTATTAGAGAAATGCAAAGATTAGCTCAGGATAGGAGTAGTGGAAGTGCGTGTCCACCCAGGACTGACGACCTTAATATGATGATGAAGAAAACACTCCCCTCACTCCCACAAAATTTCGACTTTCGATATATCAAACTTCTCATCATTTGCGCTCATTTTCATGGTGAGATTCGTAACCAGCATTCCAAAAGATCCCTGTATACGAAATTTCTAGTCATTTTAAGGTAACACCTTTTCGGAAGTCCCTCCCGAAATATTACGGCTATTTTCTTAGATTTTGAAAAAGTATTGATATGAATGTAGACAAGGATCCATATATTTTAAAACTATTTTCGTAACGTCCAAAGCAAATTAGAGTAGAGGTAGAACTAGTTTAGATTACTGATCACAAATAATTAAAAATGTGGGATGTTTCAGTTTTAGGGAAATGCGAATATTAGCTTAGAACAGGAAAAAGTAGAGTACATTTTTTAAATGGAACACCCTATATATTATTACATTTTTCGATTATGTAATCAAAATAAGAGGAAATTTCATTAAGGTTTAGGAGAAGTAAACCTTAAGGATTTTGAAATATTTCTGCGAAAAGGTAGTGTTTAAATTCTATTAAACTATTAAATTCTCAACTTGCATTCCCGCTTTTAAAACCAAATTTGAACTGACATCTACTTATTATAAGATACAAGTTTTAAACGGTAATAAATGTTTTAGTTTAAACAAAACACCATGTATTTTATGTCAACAACAATATAGACTGTCAGATGGCATCAGAGAAAAAAAAACAATTTTTAATAGTCTGCCAATGATAAGGGACATATTTAGGAAAGAGGCGGCATGAAAGGGAAAAGTATTGAATAGGATAGGAACCAATCTACTTGTGTTAGAAGCTTAGGCTTTCGCCTGGTAGTTGGCGCTAATCTCCGTGGTCATTTGTCCATTTCGTGTACCGTTGCAATATTATTCGTTTAGGTGCTACAGTGAAATAACGCTTATCGCAAGTTAATTTATGAAGCACTCATAAAAAACTTCGGTGAAATTTGGATAGTAAACTTCAGTGCAGCAAGATTAGTTTACTTGGAAGTGGTATTATTAAGGTAATTACCAATAGGGAGAATCTTCTGAAAGTATGGTTAGTTTCAGAGAAAATTATTATGTTTATAAATTCGCCAAATGGTCCTGAAAGGAACGGAGATAGAAGTATTGAAAGGGTCACATGGATGACCTTTTCATTTCTTTTCTTTGTATTTTATCACTTTGACAAGCATTAAATATAAGTTAACTAAGTCTTACGGTCAATTTGGTTGTTGTTATACACGCTCCTATGTTTTGAAAACTTTGGATGAGTTTTCATGGTGAAATAAATGGTAGTTAAAAATATTTTGTATGGGTTTGAGTTAAGTAATTACACGAATATATAAGGGTTTTTACACGAAAAAGTATGCAACAAGTAAAAAGTAAATATTAATAATTAAAAACGAGGTGTTCAATGCCCAATAAAGGGTCACAAAGCTTATTTTAATCATCAACTAATAATAATGAGGATCAACTAAACATTGAGATCCGTTGCAAACATTTATACGTACGCCATATATTTTATCTTCCATTTTTATTTAGAATGGAGAATTCACCAAAAAAGGGAATGAGAAATTCAAAAGAAACTATAACAGAGGTAGTCAACATTGTCTGCAAGGCAAATCATCCATTCGATCAGTTGCAAAAGAGTTTAGTATAGCCAAGTCTATGTTAGCTAGATTAGTTACTAAAGCGAAAGGTATGCCACCAAGTTCTTTTTTTTATGAACCCAACTTTGGATACAGAAGAGTATTCACAGCTGAATCTTACTTCATCGAAAATGGTTTACGGTTTAACATATCTTTAAACTCGAGAGCTCGCATACCGGTATGCATTAAAATTGAGGAAAGAAATGCCTACAAACTGGATTAACTATAAAAGTGCGAGAGTAGATTGGATGAAGCATCTTATGAAATGTCATAGTGCATTGTCCCTTCGACGTCCTGAGAAAACTAGCTTATCAAGAGCGATAGCTTCGATATAAACTTGAAGAAGTATTAAAGAAATACAGTTCTACAGCAGACAGAATATTTAATCCTGATGAAACTGGCTTAATAACAGTGTCTGAATTACCCATTGTTACTGCTCCACGTGGTGCTAGTTGCTCATGCAATTTCTACAGAAAGAGGCCAGTTAGTCACCATGCTTGCATTTGTGTCAGCCACAGGTAACCAACTTCCTCCTGTCTTTATATTTCCACGAGTTAAATTTAAAAATATTATGTCAAAAGGTTGTCCACCCGGAAGTTTAGGACTTTGCCACAAAAGTGGTTGGGTGACGGCTGACAATTTTTACACTGCATTCAGGCACTTTTTAGAAAAATCAGTCATCTAAGAATAGCCCAATATTGTTATTAATAAGTAACCACGAAAGCGACCTTAATATTGATGTTATAGACCATGCTCGTAAAAATGGTGTAGTATCGACTGCAGCCATTAAATGTAGCTATTTTTGGATCATTCAAGAACTATTGTAGAACTGCCAAGAGTGATTGGATGGTTAACAACCCTAAAAAAATTATATCACTTTACCTTCTATCACAGTTTGCTAACACTGAATTTCTCAATGCGTTTACTCCAAAAACTATTTGTTCCGAGTTTTTAAAAACTGGCATTTTTCCATTCAAAAAAAACAAGATTTTTTGGTAGCAATCGTAACTAACCACTTTACTGAAGACCCACATAATACAGCTAGTACCTTGTCTGACCCTGGTCTAATCTTATCTACGATTAGGCCTATAATTACCAAATCTCCTTCTATAAAACCGTTTCCAAGAGCATCACCTCGGCAAGAATCTCAGCATGGTAGGAAACGTGGTTCTGATCGTGTTATAACAGAAACGCCCGAAAAAAGAAAGATTGAGGAAAACACAAATGACAAATTTTTAATTTCTTAAACAGTATTTATATAAGTCCAACAAAAATCTCTTGGAATTTTAATATTGAAGATTTTAAGAGCATAAATTTCAGCAGACGGGGACGAACACATGTCCCTGCTAAAGAATCAGTTGTACAACTTCGAGATATTTTGAATCTCATAAGCAAAAAAAGGATAATGACCTTCAAAAATTGCTCAAATGGGTCCCAACAAGATCCCACCACTTTTTTTAGAGCTTTGCTTACAAGGAAGTTATAAAAGAGGACAACGATGAATACCAAAGGTTTTTTTCGATTGTCATTTGTTTTACTTCAGTTTAGTTATTAAAATAAAATTTTAGTTTTCTCCAAGATTGTTATGTTACTCACTGGGAGAGAACGCCATCGCGGATAAACTACTGCGGCATTTTAGAACAAGGGGCTGGACAGTAGAAAGTAAACATCATGTTCGTCACTTCAACCTAGCCATTCATGACGGCGACTCCATCGTTATAACCGACATCTAGGTGTCATGGAACGGATCCACTCAGTGACATTACAAATGTAATCGTTTTCCTGTCTTCTCTTCATCACGGCGGGGAAGTGGACGACTCAAAGAAGAAAGAAGAAATTGCCAAAGATGGTGTCCCTCTACAACTTAACCAAAGGGGTAGTTGACACCGTCGATCAATTGTCAACTATTTACAATGTATCATGAAATAGTCGTCGATTGCCCTTGACTTTATTCTTTTCTCTAATGAATACAGCAGGTATTAACTTCCAAATTATTCATAGAGAAAATATCAATTGTTAAAAGAAGTGATTACCTAATCCAGTTAGGGACAGAACTCATAAGTGATTATCAAAAGATGAGAATGCAAAATGACGGAATACCAAGAGAACTTAGTGGTGTAGTTAGCAGAATAAGAAGCGAAACATCAGGGCTCCCTAGCAAAAACGAAAACAACATGGACTGGGAAGATGTCGTGATTATCTCTAACCCTGTGATCGCAAAACTAGCCACACCTGTGAAAAGTTTTATAAGTTTATATACCTTGAACATGCTAATATGTCCTGCGAAACTTGTTCAGAAATCGCCAATGTTGATGACCAATAAAAATATTTTCTGTCTGCTCTAGTACAAATATCCATTGGTTTCATGTTCTTACTACACTAAATTTTGTGTTTTCGATTTGTTTGATTCACAATATTAATGTTTTAAAATAAAGTTCTTATGGGTCAAATTAAAAACTCTCCTGGAGTATCCGACCTTTAATAAACGAGAAATCACATAAAAGAAATGCTGGAATATGAATTCAGGTAAGAAATACATATTTCGTTCATCTTCGTTTCGGCTAAGTGGAGTTTTAATAATCAAGAACATTGAAGATTTATCTCTATTCAAACACAGAATTAATGACTCAAAGTAATATAAAATAACTTTAATTAATTTTATTTCTTCATATCAAATTGATTTATAATTACACAGCTTCGTAATTTAATACAATTTTCATCTCGGTATTAAATAAATACATTCATNATAAAAATAAAAATTTAAATAAAAAAATTGCTATTAAAGAAAACTTTTGCTCGTACGTAACCAAACTGTTAATGTCCCTTTCCGAATCTGATTACGAAAGTGTCAAAGTTTTTATTAAGAAAAAACAATATAATTACAAAAACCAGGAAGTAGTGTATTAATAAAAAGTGTATTAATAAAAGATGTGTTAATGATTGCAATTTTTTACTGAAGATGAAAGAGAGGCGCTCCTTTAATTATTCTGGAATTTAAAAAGTAATTTAGAAAGGAACGCAAGCTCAACATTCTCGGAAAAGTTTGACATATTAATACTTGTTTATGAAATGTGAGGTTCAAAGACGTGTATGTCTGCAATTTTTGTAACTCACAAGCTAGTTAGAAATTCATTGCAAGGAAAAATTGAAGAAAACAAAGACAGAAGGGGTAATCATGCATTAAAACATAAGCCCACACCGGACCAAATGACAGAATTCAAAAATTTTATAGAAAACCTACAGGCACTACCATCCTATTACTACTGTGCGTCTAGCGCAAAGCTACATCTCCCAATTGAATCTAAAAGTATTGCGAATCTTTGTAAGATATATTGGTCAACAATACATGATTGTGGACGGTAAGGTAACTCCTAAGAATTTCTTGCTTCAAAATTTCTTCAAAAAGGATTATAATATAGGAATACACGTGCCTATTAATGTTTTTAGTGCGAACAGAAAAGTATGAAGTGATTACTTAAAACCATCAGAACGATAAAAATAATGCAAAATTACTTGTTTAAGCGGAACAAAATAAATCGTCACAAAATAGACTTATTGTAATATCTTTTAATTTACAGAAGGATCCTACTACTCCACGTGCGCCAGATATGTTATCTGGGTTTGGAAGTAAATATATACTGTTTGTAACTTTACAGTGTATCTATAGAATATTTATATTGAACCTGATTCAGAGAAGAAAAACGAAGTGGCTGGGTTATCAAAAAAAACAAACATCAGATAAAGAACATAAAATCTGGAGTAATCCAGCTGTGGAACAAATAATTATTGAAGGTATTGCAAATACCTAAGTCTACAACACAGGAATCTCGACCTAATGCGTGGGTTCCAACCGATTATAATAAAATGTATCTACAGGGTTATTCAAACTGGTGGTACATTAGACGTTTTAGGGAAACTAAGCGTGACAGATCTGAAAATTTGCTGGCGGGAGTTATCGATGATAATCTGTTTAACTAAAATAGTTTCAACTGTCGATGACTTCCGGTTATACCGGATGTTGATGCCAACTTCGTTATTTAAAATTTTAAAGTACCCTTGACAACTAACTTGTATGTCTACAATGAATAGTTTCTGGGACAAACACAAATGTTAAAAATCAAAATTTTTTTTTTATGTTACAAAAATGATGAAAGACGAAGCTTATTGTTAGCTATGCACGATGATTCATCCTTGTGGTGCGATATCGGCAAATTTGTTTGGGTTATGGGACGCCTTTTGACACAAACACGGTCCGTAGGATGACGGAGAAAAAAACAAAGACTGTGGACTTATTAATTTTTGGATTATTATGTTGTGTAAGAAATCAAGCACCTTTTCACAACTACTTTAATNGCTTAGATTTGCAGATGAAGTAGCAGTTAGGAGTGAAATAAAATGGAAGCGGTATAGACAAACGGTATGGTACGAAAATAAATACAACAAAAACAGAAATACTGGTATGCAAGGGAAGAAAAAGTAGAGATAGAGCGAATATAAAAGTAGGAGGCGAAAAATTAGATTTTCAGTATCTAGGAAGTCTAATAAGTCAGAGTGGAGCAATTGAGATATAAAACAGAGGATAGCGCAGGATAAATTTTTAGAAGCGTTTGTAAGAAATCAAGCACCTTTTCACAACTACTTTAATCTAATTCTTTATAACTTTCACAATTTTATTGAATATATTATATATTATTTTTCACGTGCATACCACTTCGCTAGCACAATCTTTCTGTTCTCCTTTTCTGGCTAACTGTTGATAGTTTTAGTGGTTCCCCGATGTCGCGTCTTAGCATAACAACGGGGCCCGAACCGGGATGCCTTCTCGCTGTTCTTACAGTTGCTAGCAATGAGACGTATTAGATGTAATGACTCATCAAGTAAATTTAAGTGTTCAGTTGTTTCTATCTTTGAAATGTTGTTTTACTAAAAGTTCACCCCATCATTATAGTAAATACTTTAATTCAGATATAAATACTTTCTTTCGTTGTTTATGGAGAATTCTGTGGATGGAGATTCAGGACAGTGATAAATTCATGGACATGCATCTTATGTTTCAATAATATTGCTTCAATTGATCAACAAAAAATCAAAAGACAAAAGAACATTACTTCCATTGTTTTCATTTCAACTAACACATTTAGAAGTAGTATTCGAAGCTTAGATAGCACCAAAATCCGTCAAATCCCTCTTAATTCTGCCATATTTTCGCTTATTCATGGGAGCTAAATCAGAATACGGTTAGCTAAATCTTCTGCAACTGAATTGTAGTATTCATTATAAGCTTCTCCTTCATTTTTGTAAGATAAAAAACAAGAGGTTTTGATTCTTTGCATTCGCAGTAGCTGTCCATATTACAAGGCACACTTTTGTTATTGCCAAAGTTAGTGAAATTATCCGTTTTAGATAAAAATCCAAATTTATACAAAACTTTTCAAATGAAGCAGTATACAACATCCACTTGGATCGAAGGATAAAAAGAGGAATCGAATGACAAAATAAAATATAGTAGGTGCCATTTCGAAAAACGAAGTTAATCGTGTTTGAAGTTTTTAAACTTTGGATTTTTTTTTGGACGCCCAGTATAAATTATGAAGCTCAATTTTAGTATAACATAAGCCATGAGTAACGAATATGACTGGTAAAAATTTCAACACTCTAAGTCATTTTTTGTGGAATTTATGATTTGTTATAATTTGGGTTGCGATAGCGATTTTTTTTCTGTAAATTAAATTATCAGAAAAATTATTCATCGTAGTAAAAAGTCTTCATGTTATGCCTAAGAGGTGGATATACCTTGGTCATATATTTCTTGACCATTGCGCCTCATACCAGCCAAAAAAATTAATCGTTGAACCGCTGTTACTTCAAACTGTTAAAAACATTATACGCCAATGAATGTGATCGGTGGCTAACAAATAACCCAGGGAGGCAGATAATTGTCTTTCAAGTTGCAAAAATGCAATGCGAAGCTTCTGAGCGTTGTTTTATAATAGATAAAGGAGTGAAGTCCTTTGAAACTTGTGGCATTTATCCGATTAAATAGGACGTATTTAGTGACGTGGGTTGAATTAAAGACTTACACGCATCGATTGAAATGTTCTTGCAGTTATATCGGATCAGGGATCAAACAGTTATAGATATTATAAATAAAATATCATAGTTTATGTTTTTATTTGGTTTTATAACACATTTTTTAACCCAATTGTAAGTATTAAATGTGTTTTTAAAATTTTCTCAAAGGCTCGTTCCCTATTTTAATACAAGACCGTCTGTCTTATCCAAATTTCATTATCTATACAGAATGTTCAAAAATAGAAAATATAATGACTTTCTTCCTTCCGCTGTTACTGACAGTAACGATATAGACAAAGAAAAATATGACAGTGTATCAGATTCAGATGCTGAAGATTCCCTGCCTTTATCTGTATACTTAGAAATACAATGACATTGTCCACTACTCAAAAGCAATCAGATGGCAATCCGGCAGCATGCATATCCACGGAGAATATCTCAAATACAGAATGTTATCATAACCCTACATTTGGTGACACTTCACTGAAGAATATTGTTACTTCAAAAGAAATAGCTACTTCCGTTCTCTAGAAGATCACAAAATCAGAAACGAAAAACACAAACTTGAAGTAGAGCGTGAAGAGAAACGTAGAAATGAAGAAAATAAAAGAAGCGTAGAAAAAATTTTTACTAATAAAGAAAACTACAAAAACCAAGAAAAATCTTCAGGAAACCATGAGTGTCCCGCATGCGTTAAAAAGTACAGTGATCCGCCCATAGAAAATTGCATTCAATACGAAATATGCAAAGTAGGGTGACACGAAAAATTTACAGCCTATGAGAATCTAGGAAAAGTTATTTGTGATTATTGCATATAAAGTATGAGTTTGTGAGACTTTTGCCCAACAAGTCCGAGTTTGCGTTTTTTGAATTCATTTTTTTTTGTTAATAACTTCTAAAGAATAGATCCTTTTTGGTTTTATGCCAAATCGCTATTTTACTATACCAATGAATAAAAATTTTGTTTTGAAATTATTTCTCATTTCTAACAGTAATGTAGTCTTAACTGCGTCTTTTTGTCCCATACTACTCTACAAGAAGAGAAATTTTTGTGATACTATTTGGTATTTCATTTAAATATTGTTCCACCTCTTGCTGTTTAGTGTCTCAATTCACATGATTTTCATAAGTTAATAATTTTAAACATTTTCATAAGTTAATAATTTTAAACATTTTATTATATCCTGATTATAACTCTTTGCTGGATTCGCTTGTTAAGTTTTACTATTAACAGATATATTTTCTTTTAATTAATTAGATATCACCAATATCTTCAAATATGTATTTAATTGCTTAGTTCAGACATTTGTCTTATTCTTGTTGTAGAAATGAGTTAATCAATTAAAAATTGCTAACATTGTAGTTAAACGCGTACCTTATCTCTGGTAGACGGCTGGTAATACTTAGGTCATCCGTTATTATTAATTAATCATCAGATACGCTGGTTTTGTTTAAACAAATAATAATTACAATAGAAGAGTTACAAAAAGTCTTTCAAACGAC